GCCGGGTCACCACCCCAGCAGGTGCTGCTGCGCCGGGAGACGAGCGAGTGGAGGCATACATGGTAAGTAACGTTAGCCTGGGGCTGGCTAGGCTACATTTTGAGACATGTCCAAAACAAAGTAGAAAATGTTTTTACATTGAATGTGATGTGACCTAATTAACTGCATACTTGTGACAACATATTAGCCCAGAGTTGAAGGGCTGTGACTGTTGGTAGTTGTGGTTGATTTTGTTTAAATATGCCGAATTGTGATATTATGGGTTATTATTGTTCAGATGATTTAGCTAAGCTAGCTAACAGCTGCTAACGTCAGCAGTCTCTTGTTGCCACAGCAACAGTAAACATTGACATGGACTAATGAGCTGTAAATAGAGATGCAGAATCAAGCTGTATTGTATATACAGATGAGATACTCTGAATTTTAGCACAAAATACAAGTAAACCTATAGGAAATAATTAGTTTAATTTGCAATATTTGCCATTGAATTTATTGTAATCTTTTAATTAATTTATTGTTTACTGAGGTGATAACTATTTCGTACGTATAATTTGTGTGTAACTTTAATTTCTGTGTAAATGTGTTACTTTTACTGTAATTTTCAAACGGCTGTGTATAGTGCTGTCTTGAGCATTTTCAGGTAGTGTCACCAAGATCTGACTTTTTTGCATTGGAAAACACTGGTGTCATAATGAAAACATGACAAAGCCATTAGTGTTGTTACACTCGTGAACGTTTAGTTCAATATGAACTAATCTTTTATCTTGTACATTATTCTTTGGTTTTGAGTTATTTCCCCATCCAATGATAAATGCTTTCCCTATGTCCAGCCCAGACAGGTTCAGGGAGAGAGCCAGACCAATGCAGGCAGCCCAAAGACTGCACCACCTGAGAGGGAAAAGATTGTAGAGAGTGAGGAGTGTGTCAGCACAAAGACAGGATCACCTGAGAGGGAAACAGCTGTTGAGAGCCATGAGTGTGCCAGTCAAATAACAGATTTTTTTTTTACAACCTGATCAGAAAAATCTCCAGTCATTTTTAAATTACCATCCTCAGCAAAAAAGTAGCAATCCAGTGGTGCATAAAGTGTTCTGTAGCAGAGACGGCACCAGTAGAAAGTGGCTGACATACTGTCCAGAGTGTCACATGCTGTATTGTTTCATCTGCATGGCATTCGGTAAGAGAACTGATAGCAGTCTGTTCATCAGTGGAATGTCAGATTGGAGGCATATACACCAGCACACAGAGGAGCATGAGAGAAGCAGCGCACACAGAAACTGTGCTGAAGCTTACCTCTTGAAATCTGCCAGTGCTGATATCAGCAGTGTGTTTGGTGGCAGTCAGATGTCGGCGCACAGAGAGCAGGTCAGAAAGAGACGGCAGGTTTTTGAGCGCATCATAGATGTCATCAAGGTTCTTGATGGGGGAAAGAGGGGGCTTGCATACAGGAGGTCAGAAAATGAGGCAGCATACATCCTGGAAGACCACACAGTTGATCATGGTAATTTCTTGGAACTCATACTTCTACTGGGGAAGTATGATTTCTGTTTAAAAGAGCACCTGGACAGCTGCATTGAGAACAGCAAAAAGTTGCATTTGTCTGGTGGCACAAGAGGCAGAGGCTCCCTTGTAACTTTACTCTCCAAAACCACAGTCAACTGAGTAATAGATGCAATTCACCATCTGATTCAAGAAAACATCTCCAGTGATATCAAGAAAGCAGGAATGTTTTCAGTTCAACTGGACAACGCAGGACATCACCTCTCAGGATCAATGCTCTATAATTATGAGGTATGTTACTGATGTTGTTCATGAGAGGCTTGTTGCAGTGCTGAAGTGCAGTTCATCCACTGGACAGGCATTTGTCGACATGCTGTCAGAAGTTCTGGACAAAATGGGCCTCAGCAAGACCATGTGCATTGGAAATGCGACTGATGGGGCAACAAACATGCAAGGCCAATACAAAGGATTCTCCTCACTGTTGTCTGCACAATCTCCAAATCAGGTGCATGTATGGTGCTACGCACATGTACTAAATCTGGTGCTTGCAAACACAACCCAGATTGTTATTGAGAGTGGGTCCCTGTTTGCGCTCCTCAATGGCATTGCGGTATTCATCAAAGAGTCATATCAAAGGATGAATGTGTGGGAAGTGTCAGGCCGAAACAAAAGACGTAGACGCCTTGCTCCTATTGGCGAGACACGCTGGTGGGCCAAGCATGAGGCCCTGAAGAAGGTGTTTGGCTCCTTTGGAAAGCCGGAAGATGGTCTGTACGTTGATGTGCTGTTGACATTATCAGCTATACAGAAACAGGCAACAGTGAAACCATGTATCCGTGTCATGGCCAGAGGATATGCAGAGTCATTGCTCAAGTATGAGATGATCTTGACGGCTCAAATCTTCCTCCGCATATTTGAACATACCTCTCCATTGGGAAGAGATTTTGAATCTGTAAAAAAAGCAGCAGACACATTTGTCAACTGGACAAACACAGAAATCCAAGAGAGAGATGACACGGACATTGAAATGGAGGCCACACTGCCACAAAAGAGGAGGAGGATGAAGAAAGTCTTGCCTGGAGAGATGGCTCAGGATGAGACCCTGGATGATGCAGAAAACAGCAATTGAAGCCATTCATAGGCACTTTTTAACACACGGCAATCTATATGCTGACTTGGCATGTCTGGATCCCAGAAACTTCCCTCAGCTCTGCACCAGTGCTCTTCCCCAGTCTGCCCTTCGAGACTTAAGCAAGTGCTTGCAAGGATTTGACAGCAGGGCAACCAAGGAAAATATGCAGGCTGAGTTGAAAAGCTTTGCACTCCAGTGGAACAGGCTAAAGGCATCCCCATTGGCAGAGTACAAGGCAAGAACAGTAGAAGATGGATCAGGTGGTGAGGAGGACAACACAGAAGAGGTTGAGATAACTCCCATAAGCTGTTGCTCCTGCAAAGAATGTCCTCTGTGCTGCTACCAGATACTTCGCCATTTCAACATGCTAACAGATGCATACCCTGTCCTAGGCCTTGCTTATAAATACCTGCTTACATTATCCCTCACGCAGGTGGCTTGTGAGCGCACATTTTCAATTTTGAAGTTTATTAAAAACAGACTCAGAAGCACCCTCTCATCTGATAAATTGGTGGCATTTATGTTGATGGCCATAGAGAAAGACATTCTCATGGCCTTGGACTCTGTGATAGACAGACTTGCAGAGAAGAGTGAGCTGCTTAAAAAGCTGCTCCACTGATAAGGTGAGAAATATTTAATATTATTGTTATTATCACACATCACACATTATGGATGTAGTAATTCATTATTTGTCATTTTAATGATGCTTTTAGAAGTTTTATTGTGCTTATGTGTTGATCCTTAATGGTGTGATCATGTACACTAAATTATCAATTATTCTCCATTACAGGTTGTTCTGATATATTTGAGGAGTCGTTCTCCCTCTGTTCTATATGTGGACTTGTTCTCTCATTTGGGACCACTGTTAGAATTTGGTAAGTTTATCATGTATTTTTTAATGTTATATAAATTTATACTTCATAATTATAATAACTTTTAAAAAGTTTTAAAAGAAACGCACATTCAAAAAGTTTTCAACTCTAGGTGCAGGACAGAGGAAAACATTTTCTTTATTTTTCAGAATTAATAATGTATCCAATACCCTCTCAGGTTGACCACTTGACATGTGAGAGCTTGAGGAGTTGTTCCCCCTCCGTCCATGTTCGAGGACTTGCTCTCTCTCTGCCTCCACTCTCTGCCTTCACTGCACGTTTGCAAGTTTGGCTGTTGAGTCTCCTCTAGTATGGTGAGTTTATCATTTTTTATGTTTTAAGAAATCATACTTAATTTGTGATAATTAGAAACTTAATAATGTATCCATGTCCCTCTCAGGTTGACCACTTGACATGTGAGAGCCTGAGGAGTTGTTCCCCCTCCGTCCATTTTCAAGGACTTGCTCTCTTACTGCCTCCACTTCACCACTTTTTGGCTACTGAGTTCTGTTTGCTGTTTCTTGCAGGTCATGAATTTGGTGAGGAGTGGAGCTGGCTGGCTGCGGACGAGGAAGTAGGGCAATATATACATGTGCACATACACGTATATGAGAATGCATATCTATTCAGACCTGTAATTCATGTCTTAGACTTTTTCACACAGCTATAGATAATTTTTTTTTTTTTTCAATTCTCTATTTATGGTTTCATAATGACTGAGTCTCTGATTTGTTGAGTATGTAATGTGTCTTATAATGTTATATGAATTCATACTTGATTTGTGATGATGACTTCATAATGTTTCCATGTCTCTTTTAGGTTGACCACCCTATATATGAGAGCCTGAGGAGTTGTTTTCCCTCTGTCCCCTTTTGAGGACCTGCTTTGTCTCCTCCATCATTCACTGGGCCACTTTTGGGTTCCTGAGCTTATTTCATGTGGTGAGAGGAATGCAATATGTGTATGTTTAAAGGTTTATGTGAAGAAACATACTATATGTGTGATAAAATGACAATTGGTAATTCATAAATGT